CATCATTAAATGATATAAGTTGAGGCCATAACAATCATGTAATTTCCCGATTTATTTCAAGAGAAGCAAATTCCAGTAAGAGACTTTCCTTTCCAAATTGCCAACTAAAATGAAAACACAGATTTTACATATGTTCTTAAACCTCTTTTTCTTCAGAGACAATCACAGGAGGAGAAAGCAAGCAGTAAGCACTACTAGATAAAATCTCATCGTTCCCCATTAGCCACGACGAAGAAATGTGATGTTGACAAGAAGCAGATTGTGCCTTATCTGGGTACATACTGATTAATTTGTACTGCAAAATGTCTTCAGAACTAACTACAAATGTATCAAATAACTGAATCTTTCTTGCTATAGGAAATAAATAAAGACATACATAACCATCTACGTATAGTTTGGCGAAAAAGATTAAGTAGACGAAAGTGAGGGGAATATCAAAACTGATTATATTGTGAAGAAATAGGAAAATCATAACACATATACAAAAAGTTACACAAAACTTCCAGACTCCAATTCACTGCTCTCGAGACTTGTACACAACGATTGATCCTTGAAGTTCCCTATCCACTTTGAAGTGAGCATGAAAGAACCTTTTCATCTGTGAGTTACACATATGCACACTTTGTCATCCAAGTATAACACAAAAATAAATAATTACGACCATAAAACTATAACCAACATTTCCAACCTCATCAAACTTGTGAGAGACTAAGAAGTCCTTTAACGGCTTTTCTTGGGAATCAAATAGCACAATATGGCTGGGTGGTGTCCAATTTCTCGCAAGTGTTTTCACGAAAGCAAGGGGATCCTGTAAAAATTGGTCCGACTCGTCCAAGTTTCCTCTTTCTTCACTGTTTAAAACAAAATTTTAGGATTTTTTTTTTTAAAAAAATAGGATCATAAAATGATGCAATTGCAATGAGATCCACAAGACACAAGTTCTATGTTGTTGTACCTTGGTGTACAATCCAAGAAACGCATAGAGATGTTTTGATGTAGGGTCGAATAGTATGGCGTAGCATGGCAAGGTGTCAAAAAGAGGATACTTTTTACTTTATTGTCTCTGGCCTCCTTCGAGAGATAGTTCATCACATCCTCTGCACCTCTCTGTTAAATCACAAAAAGATACATATTTATTTTTACGTATTATATAATATGTGTAACACAGAAACTCGTAAAAAAACAGAAACAAAAAAATATGTAATAACAAGCTACATTAACATGCCTGATGAACCATACTCATGTATAGAGCCATCGGGAGATTAGTTACAAGTAGGAAAATGACCGACATATGCAGTCTGGAATAGTGGTTTTTACGAGAGTTCCGAATTTGCTTTCTCTTTGACATTTTACGTTGATGTAAATTGGCTAATGGAATCCCCGAGAAAATCAACGCTATGGGTAGCACAGGAAGAACAAACCTGATATATTTGGAATCTGAAGATAATGAGAATGTTTAATTAAGTACTATTAGTGCTCCAAACACCATAAATTTACTTAAAACATTAAAGAATAATATAATCAGGTACCTGAATTCTTTATGGCCGAGAAGGCTATATACTCCCAAGACCCATATAATAAGTCCAGAAAGCTTCCACTCTTTGGACATAATAATACCGGCAATAGAAAAAGGTATATATGTGAATAGCATGATCGTGAAGCCTTGTGTGATATACCAATGCCATGCATGAGTTCCATAATAGTCCCCTCCAGAAGAAAGAAAATTGAACTTCACAAAGTTAAGGGGAACCATAACCCACGACCCATAAAGTTGACAATCCAATAAGAGCGTAAAACCGAGCACAAGCCCCCTGATAGTACATGCCGAGTGCAAAACAATTATATTTGTGTTCATATATTCACTGAATATAAGCCTACAAAAGATAAACTATACCTGCTGAGGCAAAAAGTAGGCAATAGCACTATCTTTCAAAAATTAATAGTCCGGGCTAAGTGAAAAGAAAACTCTAAAAACTATACACAAATTAGGTTCAAGAGATATCAAAAGACATCCTCTAATACCCTTTTCTGGAAACTCATCTACTGCAGTGAATTACTGGAAGGTATATCTTTAACTATCGCTTATCATATTCGCAGACGTGCACATGAAATGATAATGTTAGCTTCATAGTCCATAAACTACTTTATACTACTGCAAATTAATATTTGAAGGTCACAGATAAGATTTTAAAGCATTCAAGCGACAAATTTGGTCCACAAGGGGAGTCAGAGGATACCTCCCCTTAAAAACTGTTCAATGAACTAACTTAGTCGTAATCCAATTCCAAGTGACCCTATACATAATTGAAATGTAGAATCAGCTCGCTAACGTAAGACACTAAGACCACACTAAAACTAACTAAAATTAGAGAGAAATGGAAACTCTAAAAGAGTTCACAAGCACAAGAAACAGCAGGAGTAAGCACAATGCATACTTTAACATACTAACCCAATGGGAATGACTTCAACAAGGATAAACTTTATCTTATCACGTGTCGTAAAGAGTTCT